TGAATGTTATTATGTTGTATGATTTTTTATGATTTTTTCATTATTTAATAGCCTTTAAATAAATATTTTTAAAAATTTCGAATTTCCAAATTTTTCAGATTTTTTGTGAAAAAAAACGTTCGTACTACAAATTTTGTTTGTAGTACAAGGGTAAAAAAAATGGATTTTTGCCAAAAAAAAAAGTTCGTTCTGCGGAATGTTCGTTTTATGAGGTGTTTGTACTACGAGGTACCACTGTACTGTTATATACTGTTATATACTGTATATATACCTTATGTACAGCTACAAACTACTGTACTGTATATGCAGTATTAAAATAAATGAGATACTGTATGTATCAACGCAGAAGGGAAGTATGATATCTGAACCACTTCGAAAATTTCAAACCTCTTTAAGTTGAATTTCAAGGAAGGAGCAAAAAAATCTTGCTGGAGAAGTAGTCATTTTGTAGGGTAATATTGAAAGAAGGATTGCAGGAAATTCTGATTGGTGATATTTTCTTGGCCTTAAATTACTGTACAGTATTTTAAATGAGTTGACACCATGCTTAACATGGAGGCAAGGGTTCATCTGCCCAATTGATTTTTCACTTTCTTTCAAAGCTCATCAAGTTATATGTTTATTGATCTTTTTGGCCTCCAGAAAATTTGAGTTATTGAAGGTTGAGTGGGAAAATCCTTCAAGTTATAAACATTTTTAAGGTGTTGTTTCTGAGGGTTTCACACAGGGATTCAAAAGAAAAATTGACAGAGGTATCAACTTATGATAACTTTGAGGTACTGTATATCAAACTGTTCAAATGTCCATTTATATATGAAGGTAAACTCTGCATGCACGGAGACTGCTTTTGATGGGATCGGTTTGCCGATTACAAATACAACTTGACATTGACACAAACACAGCAGTAAACGCATCATGCATGTCAAATCCTGTTGGCCATCCTTCTGGTACTGCATCGTGTTGATGGGGTGGGGCTTTGTTATTGTAGCCTTGATAACCAGTAGCTTCCGGAAAATGAAGTCGGTGACCCCCTCGGAGATGGATCATCACCAGCAGCATCCCAAGCTGGTGACTTGNGGAGATGGATCATCACCAGCAGCATCCCAAGCTGGTGACTTGGCCGAAGGTAGTTCTTTTTGGAGATTCTTTGACTCAATATTCAATGAATCCGAATCACGGATGGGCAACGATCTTGGCCCATTCCTTGCAACGTCGGTGCGACGTGATTGTGCGCGGGTTCTCCGGCTATAACACCATCGATGCCCGTCATTTGTTGCCCCGGATTGCCAACACCTTCGATGGCCCTGTTGCAGCTGTCGTCATTTTCTTGGGTGAGATATGTGTTCTTCTGCAGTCATATAATATGGGTATGATTTGGTTGAGGTTTCGCGTAAATGATGGAAATTTGCAGCACATTTTATTCTCTGACTTCATAAAATCGGAGTTGGTTTACAATTGTGACCAGTCTCTGAGCACTGACAACCTATTTCCCAGAAAAAAACGTGCATGTTTGAGAGGAGATCTCATCGTAAAAAACTTCTACCGTCTTTAATAGACTCAAAACATTTTTTGTTTCGGAAAAATCTGTTACGTCGATTGTATAGATCTTCTTGAAAAGTGTGACATATATTTTTCTGGAATTAGAGGTTCATTCCTTCATACAGACTTGGTTGGTTTTTGATGAATAAATCAGAAAATTCTCAAAACAAAACAAAATCAACAACGATTTCAAGCAATATAGCTAAAAATTCCAANTCATTCCTTCATACAGACTTGGTTGGTTTTTGATGAATAAATCAGAAAATTCTCAAAACAAAACAAAATCAACAACGATTTCAAGCAATATAGCTAAAAATTCCAAGCAAAATACCTAAATCAAGCAAAATCATGTTAAGCTAAAAAATATTGTTTATTTTTGAGATCCATATAACCCGTAAAAGTCCCCTGAATAAGGATTGTGGTTACGAAATGGTAAAATATTTTCAGATCTTTCGAAACTATTCCATCATGCGCTGAAATCTGCAGCAACCAGCACGATTGCTTATCTCGGGATATGTCGCGTTACATATTCTATTTCTTTTACAGTCTACCCGAGTTTTAATCCTGAAAAGTCCCCCATTTCACCAAATCCCTTCATTTGATAAAGAAAGAAAATTTCCCAAAGACGATATGCGTCAATCTAATTTCTTCACAATTTATGTTTCACAAACATTGCACAAATATTCCATAACTACTGTAAGTTGATTATGCGCAGTCCAAAATAATTTAAACGTTTTTTACAAGTTATGAATATGTGTGGTTTTTGTTTCACTCAAGGTTTTCGAGCTGAATTAATTTTCAATGCTGAAAATACCGAATAGCTTCCTGGAAAAAATGAGCGGGAAAGCTGGAAACCGCGATTTCCGTCAATAATCGACGCTCAAATTTATTTCTAAGGAGATGAATCGAATGGCGACTTTATAAGCAAAATAATTAACTAATACATAATGTCAACCACAAGTTTTTTTTACGCGAAGCATTCCGTTTCGAGGACAATAATGGCTTAAAAGATTATTGCGGAAATTTTCTGAAGAACGAGTTATGCGCGAAAATATTATTCCCTTCCGTTTTTGGTAAATACGGCTTTATTGCCCAATAATTTTGCAATTGATGCTATATTCAACGAATTCAATGACGAATTTTCTTTTTTATTGACGGTATATATATAAGAACTTGTCATCAAAGAATCCGTTCGTGTGTCATGCAGGTACCAATGACGCTGCTGACGCGGTTCAAAACGTCAGGCAGCATGTTCCCTTGGAAGAGTACAGAAAAAATCTGGCCTGGATGGTGAAGTTCATGCAGGTGAGAACCATGCAGGATTTGAAAGCATTTTGCTATTTCTGGTTTATATATCGGACTTGATCTTAATACAATATGAGAATTTAAATGCAGGATTATATCACCATTTTTAGGATAAAGGAGTTCCTCGGGAGAAGATCATCTTAATGAGTCCTCCTGCGGCTGATGTGAAGAAATGGACGAGAAATGACCGAAGCTTGGCGCAAACTGAAGCATACGCTCGGGTTTGCGAAGAAGTAGCCCATGGTGCCAACATCAGTAGCATCAACCTTTGCAAGCTGATGCAGGACAAATTTAAAAATGTGAGCGATTCTTTCCCTTCATTCATCAGTATTCATATGGTACAGTACAGTATATACATATATGTACATATAATGGTTGTCCCAGTTGGCTGAAATATCATATATTTTTTAAAGTAAAGGTATGATTGTAAAAACAAAATCATGAAATAGCCGATGATGTCCTCTTAAGTTTCTGGGAATCTTCGGATTTTAACATTTTTTGCAATATACTGCATGTTAAAAATTGAAATTTTATTTTTGTTTTAACCCTTATTTAAAATTTAGGAGACTTAATGCTGGACAAAACAACGAAAATTTCAATATTTTAGCTGGCCAGACGCATTTCAAAACCCAGTGATTGGGGTTGAGAACTCTGGCTGTAACTGGAAAGTTTTCATCGATCATGCACTAAAGTGAAAAACTCTGTTGTTATCCTAAAATCTCAATTTGTTGCTCTGCCAGAGATTTCTTTAAACCACAGTGAGCTTTTCAGTAAAAGCAAACTACAACGTCTTTTGTAGCAAGTTTACTACCAGCCTTGTGGCTCAGGTAACAAACCTTGCCCTTCAGGTTACGTAAGTTATTTTCTAGTGTGAGTTAGGATTTCTTTAGAAGGAATCAAGTAAAACTGAGATATTCAGGACAAAGCAGTTTATTGACACACAGTGACACAAGTTGCTTGTACAGTCTCTTGAATGCGATGCTCTCTGTTGTACAATGATACACAGCTTTTAAGGGGAATGGAATATGGGCTGGCAGCAGGTCGTTCAACTAGTTGACTGTCCCATAAAAACAAAGAGGGGGAACAAAGACAGCAATGCGCGGCTCACTGTTCACAACACAGGTGAATACGCATTTCACATTTCATCGTCCTTGAAGACAGCAAAGTGCGCGTACGGAAGATCCGTCCCAAGCGCATTCCATCCCAAACGGTAAGCCCTTTAATCCCCTTTGTCGTTGGGGTGGCGCGCCACCCAAACCGGTCCTAGGAATGGTTTCCTACTATATTATCCCACATTGTTCAACTCCAAGGGATTAAACCGTCTGTTCCTTCGCCAGGAGGCTGGGAGGGGGTCCGTTTTCGCTGGGTTCATTCTCTAATCGCCAGGTGCAATGGTAATCGTGCTGTGTTTTTTGGGACCTCTCATTTACTTCTGTTATAATGTACTCCTCAACATTTTTGTATAGCATGTTTCTTCAGCCCCTTGCCCCCT